CGATGAGCAGGAAAATGCTACAGTGACCGAAAACAAAAAACAGCAACATAACAGATCAGGAAAAAAACAATAGTGCTTTGGTCAAGCATTGTCAAGCAGGTCATTTGGTGTAATGCACTAATGCACTAAATGTAAAGATAATAACACAGAGCCTCACATTCTGTTTCTAAACATGATCATAGACGTGGTAAAATGACACCACTAGCATGCACTGTGTCTCGGGGGTCTATATTGTTTTGTGCAGTGAATCTTTTTACTGGAATCAGCCAAGCTATTGAAGACCTCATACCAAAAAGCTAACGAAGACCTCGTTCTAAAGGTTTTTTCTCATTTTGACATGCAGTCGTCATATTCCAGTGATAAGCTTTATGTACACTATTTTCAGGAGAGAAACACGCTCATGGAAAACATATGAAAACAACAGGAGAAATATTCTGAATGGCACAGTTTGAGGAATAGCGAGTATTGCGGTTTTTGTTACGTCTAATAAACTACAGTGTATGCACCATCTGAGCCAATCACTATTTCTCAGTCCTAAGAATACTATTCATATTCAACCAGAAATATTCCAGATTGTTGGTTGATTAACGCTTTTAGTTTGCATAGGAATCACAAATTGGATTTGCACAGTTTTAAGAGTTATTATTTCTTTCAAGGACCCAGATGACCAAAATATATCTGGCTCAGGAAACATCTTGTTTAATTGCCAAAAACTTTACGTTGCTATTCATCCCCAGTATTATAAATATGTTGTTTATTAGATACAGTGGGGTCCAAAAGTCTGAAAATGACAATGCTTTACTTTAAATAAAAATCTAAACTGTTATCTATGGAAGCTTGTTTTCGACATGGGATAAAAAAAAAAAGTAATTGTGACTTTATATCTCACAATTCTGACTTTTATTCTCTGAATTCTAAGTTTATATCTTGAAATTTTTTTTTTCCAGCAACTAAAAAATAAATAAAGGTAATTGCATCTTTTCATCTCATAATTTTGACTCTCACAATAGTGAGTTTATATCTCACAATTGTAAGTTAAAGGGATAGTTCACCCAAAAATGAAAATTTGATGTAGGCGACTTTGTTTCTTCAGTAGAACACAAACGAAGATTTTTAACACAAACCGTTGCAGTCTGTCAATCTTATAATTGAGGTGAACGGGAATCACGGCTAAAACATACAATAAAACAAAAAAAAAAACATACACAAACAAAACCAAATTAAACTCTGCGGCTCGTGACGATACATTGATGTGTAAAGACACAAAACGATCGGTCTGTGCAAGAAACTGAACAGTATTTATATCGTTTTTTAACTCTGATTCAGGCAATGTCCGAACTGTTCTGAGCGCATTCTCAACAGCAGGCGTGTGAGGCGTCTTCTTCTTCTTCTTGCTTTATTGTGGATCGCAGACTTATAAGTGCATTACTGCCACCTATCTCTCAAGTGGACCATTGACACTCCTAATTGAGATTGTAGCTAGAGTGTCAATGGTGCATTTGAGAGATAGGTGGCAGTAATGCACTTATAAGTCTCACTTATAAGTATCTACCAAGTCCCTTTACACACTCCTGTATAGTAGGTGGCGATATGCAATAATTACAAGTTGCAAAAGCCAAGAAAAAAGAAGAAGAAGAAGAAGAAGAAGAAGATGCCTCACGCGCCTGCTGTTGAGAACGCGCTCAGGAGGACGCGCTCAGGACAGTTCGAGCAGTTCGGACACTGTGTGAATCAGAGGTAAAAAACCATATAAATATTCTTCAGTTTCTTGCACAGACCGATCATTTTGTGTCTTTACACATCAATGTATCGTCACGAGCCGCAGGGTTTAATTTGGTTTTGTTTGTGTATGTTTTTTCGACTCTCAAAGCCGTGATTCCCATCCACCTCCATTATATGACTGACAGACTGCAACGGTTTGAGTTAAAAATCTTCGTTTGTGTTCTACTGAAGAAACAAAGTCACCTACATCTTGGATGCCCTGGGGGTAAGCAGATAAACATCAAATTT